ACCACTGCTGGCCAGATGATCAGGGGAGCCTGAAACAAAGGTGCATCCAGTGCACTTTCTGCTCCGCGTCCAGCTCCCCATCATTTAGCTGGCAGTGGCAAAGGGGAGGCTTGGAATGGAAAATGCACCATACATAATGTGTGTCCCAAGTCACCATTTATCATAGCCCTGACCTGGATGGCCCAGGCTAGCCCGATCTCGTGAGATCGCGGAAGCTAAGCAGGATCGGCCTTGGCTAATAGTTGGATGGGCAATTTCCAAGGAATACCAGGGTCGTGACACAGAGGCAGGCAACGGCAAACCACTTCTGAAACGTCATTTGCCTCAAAAACAAGTCTAGCTCACCACCTAGTGGTACATAATGCTAAAGAGCTAGAACTTCTGTCTGCCAGACAATCTTAGGGTCTCCTGGCTATACTACACACAGTGCCATATGATAATTATTATTTATTATTATTTATCACAGACCAGGGACCAGTAGGGTAGATGAGAATTCAATATCCCCTTCCTACAAGTTTTCGTAGATGCAGTGCTTGTAAAATCATATTTTCTGCATTCCCTGGGGAGTTATCCAAGAAGAAGAAGGAGGAAGAGGAGGAGGAGGAGAGTTGGATTTATACCCTGCCCTTTACTACCCGAAGGAGTCTCAGAGCGTCTTACAATCTCCTTTCCCTTCCCCTCCCCACAACAGACACCCTGTGAGGTAGGCGGGGTGAGAGAGCTCTTTCAAGAACTGCTTGTGAGAGAACAGCTCTGAAAGAACTTGTAACTGACCCAAGGTCACACCAGCAGCTGTATGTGGAAGAGTGGGGAATCAAACCTGGTTCTTCCAGATTAGAGTCCACGCTCCTAACCACTACACCAAACAGTGTCTGGGGATGGCCTGGTTTCATGACTGGCTTGTGGGCCAGCCATATTACTATTATCCACAATATAAAATTACGCAGATATAGGAACTGGGGTTGTATTACAGACAATGATACTGCAGTTGTAATGAGCAAATATTCTGCTTGTGACCTGGAGAAGCAACTCATAAACAACTCAGATTAACAAATTAACAAAGTAATTGTTGCCTGGCATGTAAGTAGTCATGTGAAAGTACCCTTGGTTTAAACTAGCTGGGGCAACCTCTGTAAATGGTTTTCTCCAACTAACCTACACTCTAAGATTCATGATTCCTAACCCAGAAATCGCTTCCTGCATTAAGCCTTTCTAAGCTTTCCATTCTCTCCATTCTGAGGTGCTGTCCAGGATTTTTTTTTCCTCTTTACTGTTAGAATAACATAATTTTTTGGAATTTAAAAGGTGAGAATCACTTGGAGTATGATTTCATTCATACTGTTATGACTAGGTCTCTGTTCATGCGCATGTATTAATACTATCCAAGCTTTGGGACAAAGAGATGCATTTAAATGAGATCCAGCTTTAGCGGCCATTTAATTTCCTTCGAGAAAATTAGTTCTACATTTCTGCCTCTTGTGTGAAAAATGAAGCTACGGTGGTGACACATAAAGTGATGATTAATTGAAAATAATGAAGCCCCAAGGCTCGTCCTCTAGGACTTCTGTAAACTTTAGCTCAATATTTGATAAAATTGATTAACTTTTATATACGCAGTATTAAAAAAAATTAGACAAGCTCTCTCTAATGCCCTGGCAGTGTTGTCTTACTCTAGCATAGAAGAACCCAGTGTAGTTTTTCAGCCTGTTAAACGCCAAAGGCTAAGACCTTCAGAAGATCAGAGTCTTAGGAAAACAGAGTCTGGGATCCAATGGAGGATTTATGCAGATGGAAGGAGGCCAATGTTCACTGGTTCCACTCCTCAGCTGCACACCTCCAGCTCCCT